CCGAGCTGTAGAGCACTTCATCAAAGGCTTAGGGCAAAGGTTACAGTCACTTAAATGCAAATGAAATGGTTTTAAACCTTAAGATAATCCTGCTAGATAGCAAATATGTCAGCGGTTTGCAAAGGGTGTCTTAAAAATGGCTCCAAGAAATATCTGTAAATAACTTTTTTCTGTACTGGATATAAAATTAGGACCCAGAGTAGATTCAAGTTTCAATTAGTGGTCCCAGTGCTGTATCAAAACTACAATAAAATTTACAGCGGAATGCTAAAGTGTTGTGAGCTGCTTTTTCCTTCATCCTTCTGAAATGGGCAATAAATCTTTGGGAGATAATCTTGCAATAAAGACCTTTAGTGAAGTCCATGACAGAGTGTAGGCACTCTCATCAAGCCAGAGCTTTCCCTAACTGCGACACTAGTCCATCACAGCAATGCTGGTATGCATGTACGGATGGATGGTCGGACAAGAGCCTTAACAAAAAAGCAGGAAGAGTTAAACCGTTCACCCTCCATCAATGCTTAACAGCCAACACAGAGAGCACTTGGCTTCAGCTACAAGCACCACTGTCCTCCTCTTCCATCAATCACTGCTTTTCAGTAGTCCAATTTTTTTCCCCCCTTCATAGATCACAGGTCAATCAATCACTAAGTTAAGAACAGGATTGCAATTTGAAAAGCAGCGATCACATAAATTTCAGGGGTGACCCAGAGGAACCTTAAGGACCACCGGATGATCTTTATTTGGCGTTCAGGTAAGGACACAACTTAAAAAAAAAATTTAACTGTTTCAAATAGAATGACCTGTCTTACAGATCGTGGTGGCTGGTAACACACAAAAACTTCCATTTCAGGTCTACATCTTGACACAAACCAGCTGGAAGGCAGCCGTTGTTCAAAGAGAACTTTATTGAATTCACTGTGCATTACAGCAAGAACATTAATGCGGAAAATAGGCTTCTACAACAACTTGAATACGTTGAGTACATCCGATACGGTTACAATATATCATGACAGGTTATCGACATGCTACTGCGGCGGCAGAAGTCAAGTGAGATTTCTTGAGGAGAAGGCGGTGTTCCAAGGGAGAAAGCAGTCCGGAATCTGAAGATCGGATCAGCTGGGATTGGTGGTGTAGCTCCCTAGCGGAACTGAAGAGGGCTGATGCGAAGCCCGATTGCGTCTTTGCCAATTTCCGTGGCCTGAAAAACAGAACATTTCAAGCATCCAAGCAACCGTTGCTATAAAACTGCCCTCAACCCACCGTTTCTTTTGAAATTCTTTCCAAACAAGCTCATGATCTTACATCGCTGGAAAATGTGCATTTAATAGGATAACATAGGACTAGCTGAGACTCTCTGACTTGCCCGGATTTATTGATACATCTGTGAGAAAAATGATTGAGTGCTGTTCCTGTACGTTGCAATAAAAAAAAGAAAGAAATGCCGGGAAGCACAACTTGGCACTATAAGAACCTGGAACCTTGTAAAACCTAAAATGAGTTCAACTGCAGCGCCAACGGAAAGGAAAAACTTGCCCTTCCTTACCTGCGTGATTCGGCACACCTGGCCCTTGTACTCTGGGCAGTAGCAGGC